CTTGTTCCCTAAAACTTTTATCTGCTCCTCTATCTGTATTGAGCAATATATTCACCTCATCAAGCCCCAATTCGGACAAGGGCACCAATACTGACTGCAGTGATCCCAGCAGATAGCCTGGATGCAAACTCAATCAGTTTCTTGTTGTCAACATCTGAAAAAGTGAAGCATGTTATGGATTAAGCTCTATTCCTTATTTCCGAGAGCAAAAATAATCAAAGAAAAGCAAAGAAAGCACAAATTTACTCTGGTTCACTCTCAACATGAGAGCTATGTCAACTCGAAGAAGAAGAGGAAGAAGACGACTAGAAGGCGATTTCATGCTTATCAATGCAAGTCATACAAAATACAGCTCCCTAAATTTCATTTATCTGCAGTAGAATTATTTGGGTGATCTAATATACTATAGAGACCCAATATACCCCTGAACATGAAATACACCGAAATTTACGGTAGAGGGATAAGTGTACAACATAATTAGGATCCACTCAGTCCAAGAATACATTTGTAAACTCTTTGTACACACTTCATGGAACAATAAAAGACAAGGCTGTTATTCAGACATGTCTCTTATCGAAACTCACTCTATGCACTTCATAGACGTTGAGATAAGAGTTTCCTCGGTTTGCAAGTAATGACACTTTTGTAGTTAGAAGAACCTTTCCGTGTAGTGTTGAAAAGCCAGGACTTTCCCCTTTCTCAGCATTTTTATTCTAAGGGATCAATAGTTGGCAGAGTACAAGGGGGTTAATAGACTCTTCGAAACATCACTTTCGAAATAACATGGGGTTTAAAGTGTTTTTTAGCCCAAGTTTTACACACGTTTCACAAATGACAGAACAGCTTAAGTTCTAATCTCAAAGAAGGCATGGAATTTATTTTGAACCATCAACCAACACGGAGTAACACTCTAACCAATCACATGAATTCCTATCATCTTCCAAAAATTATTCGTAAGTCAATGTATAGATTAAAAATGAAATCCCAACAATCACATAAAATTTTGGCAGTGAAACTGAAACCTGAGCATGTAGTTGAAGCTGTTTCAGATATTCAATGGCTTCATCCAACATTGATGCCTTGTCAGTCTATTATCCGAAAGAAATCAACTCAACTCAAGGGAAACACAGCGAATGAAAATAAAGACATAAGAAGATAATAAAGCTCAAGATCAGAATGAAAATAAAGACATAAGAAGAATATAAAGCTCAAGATCAGAGATGAAATGTTATGAAACAATTACTTTATTGGAATTTGGTATTAAATTCTGAAGAGCTTTCAGTTTCTCATTGATCCTACTCCTCCTTTGTTCACAACAGTCATTATCACAAAAATTGAAACTTAACCAAAATTCGCATTTCACATTCAGATTAAGGAAAACCTTTTCCGACATATTGTGAACTTCTGCGGCTTCGAGGAACGGGGCCAAAAGCCACAACACAAGAAGTTAAACTAAATTGTGATGCCAAACATTGGCGCAACAAACCATATCTAGATCATAAACAAACTCAACAACTAAGTATTTTCTCAATAAATTTGAGACAGACTTTGTTCATAGCTTAAATCAAGTGAAACGTCTAAAATTGAATATATATTTACGAACTACACAAGCTCAAGTTTTCTTTAGAAAACATCAGAACACAATTTTTCTGACTATTATTAATGTTCAAAAGAAGTAGAAGCAAAAGAAGTTTCAAAATTCATCCATACCTCACGGCCGAAGCTCAAGTTTTCTTTTGCTAACTCTCTTCTCTTCACTGATGATATGATCCCATCAGAACCTTTTGCTTTGTTAGAGAAAAAACTCATGGGATCGGAAAAATTCCGGCTATATGAGGACTCCGCCACCACAGCTAAGGCTCCGCCGCCGCTATCCTCGCATAGAAAACCACCAGCGGCTTACTGGCTGCTGTAGTAGTTCTAGTATTTGTAGGAGAAGATGAATTGCGGAGAAAATTTTGGAAAAAGGAAGATACACCAATTTCGTTGAGCCAATATACACACACAAAAAATAATAATAAAAAATAAACAAATTCTCAATTCGGAAAACTAGAAATTAAGATACAAATTTTAACTGGGTTCTAGCTTCTGCTTCTTGTGATTAATTAAAAAAAAAAAAAATTGTCCAAAAATGACAACAGGGTCTATCCCTAAACTTCTACCCATGTTTCTAACGCATTCCTCAACTTTAAATTGTTTCTAGTTTTCTGTTGAACTTCAGAATCAAATTCATATCCATCAACCCACTGACCCATATGCTAATGTGGCAAGCGGAGGGTAGACGTTTGCAATTAGAAAGAAGAAAGAAGACGACGATTGTGTGTCATTAAAGCGCCTCTTTGATGTTCATTACCTGAAAATAAAAATGGGGGGAATAATATTTTTTAGAAAAATGAGTGGTTGAAAAAGAAAGAATAATTTTCAATTTACGTGTAATATTATTTTATGGAAGATTATGTGGTTGAAAATAGGAGAGAGAAAAATGGAATGTAATGTAATTTAAGTTAATGGGGATCAAACAAGGGCTAAGCTTTTGTTTGGCACCATTTTTGTATAAATATATTTTTTTCTTTCTTATTTTTTACCACATATTTTTTAATAAAATAATATTACACTTAAACCTTTTTTTTATTTATTTCTAAACCACACAGTCTCCAAAAAAATTATTATTCCAAAACACTTTTTGTTTCCCCAAAATTCAATTTTAATGAAGCCCAAACGAAGGCTAAAAAATGATATTCAACAGCTGATTTTATTTTTTTCTTGTTCCATCATAAAATGGCCTAAAAATTGCTTTTAAACAAAAAAGTTATTTTTGAACATATTTAAATAATTTTTTAAAAATATTTTGTTCGATTAGAAGAACTTTTACGAACAATTGTTCTAACGTAACTTCCTTCAGAAAAAATAGAAGCAAAACTAGAAGCCCTGCCATACCAGACCTAAGTCATACTCATATAGATGGAGATGGACTCAAATTTGAAAGTTTAAAAGTCAATTAGAAATTTAGAAACAATATAAAGTGTAGGGGCATTTTAGAGACATGGGTAAAAGTTGAGGGGCAGATGGGTATTTAGCACTTGATAATTTGATAGTTCTCCCGCCTTATTATAGTGTTTTTTTCACAATCTAGTCCTTCAACTTCGTTAATATTCCTTAACTATTATGTTATAAACGAAACTTTGCCCACAAAAAGATAATACATTGGTCAATAATTATTAAGAGCATTTTCAATGAACTCTTTATTTATAAAAGAATCTTCAATAGATTGTTTAGAAATACAAAATATTCTTTATTGTACATAGTTAAAAGCATCTCTAATACACTATTTTTAAAGAGCTTATTTTACAATTTAGATAGTAAATTTTTTTAAATATTTCAACAAAATCTTTATATTTAACATTTAGTTTTATTACTCTAAAAAAATATTTTTTTTTCCTTATCTTTTATTTTCATTAGCTTCCTTCCAAATTATTATATTATTTTTCTCTATTAAAAATTAAAATACTTTAAATTTATTTTATTATAGGCGGTGGCTTTGGCTCTTCAAATTCGGAGTATCATACTCACTTTTTATTTTCAAATGTTAATTTAAAAAGACACTTGAAATATAATTTTAATAATTGACTATTTAAAATAAAGACCATCTTATATTTAAAAAGACTTTTGAAGATACTCATACTTAAAAATTAGTTTAAAGATACCTTCTATTTTAACTTTCTAAAATTAAAAAGTGTGTTTGGCTTCTCAAATTTAAAAGCCAAATTCAGTCTCTATTTTTAGTCTAAAATGATTGCATTTAATAAATCACATATTTAAATATGCTCTTTATAATATATAATATGCTCTTTATAAATAGTCTCTTAAATATGCTTATGCATTATAGAGAGGATCTATAAATTTAAAGAGATAAAAAAAAAAAAAAAAATTACGGTTTGACAATGCTTTCTATTTTGGCTTTTCAGTTTATTTTTCTTAAGAAATATTTTATCTGACTAGAAGAGCTTTTATTGAAAGCTGCTCTGATGTAACTTCTTCAAGAACCTGTTTTACAAGAAATAAAAGCAAAGGCAAAGTTCTTGCCATACAGAACCTAAGTCATATGGATGTAGATGAACTCAAATTTGGAAGTTTAATATTAGAAACAATTTAAAGTGCAAGGACATTTTAGAGACATGGATAAAAGTTGACGGACGGATGGGTATTTAACACCTGATAATTTGACAGTTCTCCCGCCTTAATTATAATATTGTTTCTTATTAACAAACAAGTCCTTCAACTTTGTGAATGTTCTGGTCAAGAGTTTTCAATCTCATTAATTTCAATTTTTCTAGCAGGCATCTTAAACATTGAATAATACTACTTCTGCATAAGGAGTTACAGAAAGTTTTACAGATTGATGAGTAATCAAAAGGAGAGTGGGGAATATTTTTTATTTTATTTTTTGAAGAAATTTCGATTCAATTATATCTCAACACATCATATATAAATGATAATATACGTGTAGCACAACTTTAAATATTTGGCTTATTTACAGATGATAAACATTTCTAATTGTTGATGTAACAATATAACCTTAATGGTAAGAATCATAATTAAGGTTCTCTCACCACGTTAACAATGAAATCTTTTTATCTTGCCCATTAGAGAGAGGAAGCAAATTTCTTTTTCAAAAATGAACAAACATACCTATCTAGACAGACCTACACATGAGACAACCTAACTTGAACTATCGAACTTGGGTCGAGCCAGCCAAATAGGTCTTGTCAACCAACCTTTATACTTCAAACCTAAATGTGAGCCTGAATCGAACCAAACCAAACAAGAACTACGAGCCCAAATGGCCTATCCAAATTTATACTTTGTGCACATTCCAACATTCCTCGAGCCATTTATGCTTGCACATCTAGCCATCTCATCATTCTATACAATAAGGAAATCACAGCAAAATTTATTAAGCATACATTCAAAAATAATGCAGGAAGATTCAATAATAATCATTAAATAAAAAATTATTTGAATTTCAATTAATCAATATAATTCTCAACTAAATTTAAAGTCAAAAGGAGTTCCACTTTCACGTTCTGAATCAGTTTGTACCTCACAAGGATGTCTAAATAAATTCAACAAAATAAATACATCCTCCCCAAAGGTGAGACCAGAGTTCCTGGCCACGTCTCATGTAGAGAGTCCAGTAGTTTTACAAATGGGGCATATATTCTTTTGCATGAGCCATTTCTTAACACACTCCCTATGAAAATTATGCCCACAATCCAGTGTCCCCATATCTGCTTCCTCTTTATACTCTTCCTGCATATAATGACAGCAGAGATGAACAAGCCGAACACATTGAATTTTTCTAAAACAATTAGATCACAAGTATATTCGAGAAGGAAGAAATGTACCTGACATATACAGCACGGCTCTGACTCAACTTCGCCTTCTTTTCGAACGTCTACGTACTTCCGCTGCTTCATATGACGCAAAATAGTTTCTTCATTTAATCCTGTGCAAACATTTCCAATGCGCTCCTCCAGCGCCAACAGTTCCTGTAAGTATTAACATTTTTTTTTGGTTAAGATAATTAACTTTTTATCGTATAATCACACGTGAAATGTTGAACAGTCCTTCCTCACCTCATAAGACATGTTATCAACGTCAAGCCGCATATCTCTATGTCGATCATGGATATCAGCCATCCCAAAAAAGATCGACTGATCCAGGATCAGAAAATCCTAGCACGGAAGCAGCATAAGTCATTTAATTTAGAAAAATGGTTTTACTAAAACATAAGAAGAAATCTTTCAGAACTTTTTAGGAGTGGGGTAAGAGTATAATCAAACATTTATTTTCATCAACTACAAAAACTAACCTCAAATCGCAAACCTTCTCCCCTTCGCATGAGATTTAAAACACTGCGAATCTGCTAAAACAAAATAATATTAGTTAAATCTAAATGCAACCCCCTCCAGAAAAGAAAGGTCCCGTCCATTTGTATTGCAACAAGGAAAATATTTTTCTCAATATTAAAATTTATGCAACACATAAACCCAGACCAGTATTAACTGGTAATGAAGCAGAGGCTAGATTCTTTGTCGAGCATGTGGCTAAGTATCTGGTATACCCTAGTCAGTGATGGAGACCCATTGTAGACACGTTATGCTTTATGACTGAACTCGTTTGATCATATTGGAACCAAAGTATATAATCCAAATGAAATAGTAGAACTGCTCTAACTGACAATTAGCAACCATTGAGCACTGTGAGAAGTTTGTTCCATGAAGTATATTGGAACAATCCACAGATGCATAGAGCAGTCAAGCATTTTAGCAAAAATGTCCTCCGTCCCAGCAGCTACCCAGAAGTCCACTAAAACTTATATTTTTTTAAGTTAAAAAAAAATCTTTGCCTCAATCCATTTTTCAATACAGATTGAAAGAACCATTTGTACAATATTTATGGTTTTAACTACAGAAACACGGGATTTAACATGCACTTCATATTTTTTATTTTCTTCTTTACGTGGCAGGGCAATAAAGATTAGGTCTTAAGAAATAAGAATTATTACTAAAAGACACTGTCGATTAAAAGGGTGAATCAAGAGGGTGAAGTAAAAAGACTTCTGTGCAGCTAAATAAAGGGACAAGAACGCCATGGTTTCCAAGAGATTGAGAGAGTAGTGTTATCTTTTAGGTTAGGGTTATAATGAAATGCAGGAATTCCATGTTCTTGAAATAAGTTCTATGAAAAAGTTATTTGATCACATCTACTAGAAAATACAAATTGTTGGGTCATTGAAAGAGAGAGTGTAAAATGTTAATAAGATAAACATAGTTAAAGTAAGGCAGGTAGCATAGATGCCTGGCCATACTAGTGATAGATAAAGACACGTGGATAATTAATGGAACTAGAATTTAATTGGTTCACAAGTTGCAAAGACAGAAATTTCTATCCACAACAGCTATGGGATCCTACTAAAACTGGTTCAAGCTATGCAATCCCCCAATGCAACGCATAGGAAGTAAATTTAGTGATGACAATTCAACACGGTAGCAAAGAATCGCTAAAATGTGTTTTCATATACATTTCAGAATAACTCACTAAGAGCAAATTTTGGTACAATGAATATTTCAAGAATCTCTTCTATGTGCATCAAGTTAATGACCATCCTAATGTGACATCACACTGAATTTAATTTAATACCAAAAAAGGAGAAAGGTAATTATACAGCAACTAAAATTTTTTCTCACAAATGGACAAAAACGAACGATGATTTGACCAATTCATTTTCTGCTTTAACCCTGACTATAAATGATCAAATTACAGGTTCCAGCAATTCAAGGATGTTTACAAAAGCTCATGAACCATATCACAACCAGACAGGATTTAGGAAATAGCATATGCTCTAAGAAGGCAAGTACCCAAGGAGACTCATGCTGGAAAGATCATGTTCTGGTAGAATTCTTGAAATTCAGGTTACAAAAAATAAAGTTTAAATTACAACATGGTGTCACGAAGGAATCATTGAACAAGTTTTATGTAAATAAGCTAAATGGACTACTGATAATGTTAAAACCAAATTTTCCTTTAACAAACTAATGTCTATTAACTGCAGGAAATAAGAAGATAAAGTACATACCTCAGAAACTAGCCTATTTCTTCCTTCACTGGCAGTAGCAAGAGTTCTCAGTGAATAAGGTACTCTGAAAGCACCATCAAGATGTCTCTCCAACAACATTGCTGACCTTGAGTTTGATAGATGATGCCTATGATTACCAGATCCAGGAGAAAGTGTTGTCTGCTGAGAAGGAGAAGAACCAGAACGTAGAGCATGATTACTGCTCTGACCTCCGGACTCTGTACCTGCCGAAGACAACAAAGATCTGCGAACAATTTCCGACAGTCTCCTCGGATATTCTGGAGAACCATGGTGGGGAGCCCAAGGAGGTATGGATGAATTGACCCTTGAACTAGAGCTACTCGGAGGAGGAGCTGCAACATTTCCGGCAATAGTGGTATTTCCACCAGCTAAACTCCAATTTGTAGGATTTTGTGATGAACTTCTTGGATCAATAGGAGGTACAAACATAGGTTGTTCTGAAATGTTTCTTGGGACATTTCTGACATTAGGGTCTTCATAAAGCACAGCACCTCTCTCTCCAGGAATAGCAGAACCTGATGAACTGCTTGCTCTTGAGCTTGATGTTCTGTTCCACCTCGACTGTGGATTACGTCGCAAATATGGAACATGCATAAGAGCAGACGGTACTTGAGAACTTCCATTTTCTGCTGCAGATGCTGACCGGGAATCAAATGCATTATTTCGAACATGAAGTCTTGATGAATGCTGGGATGACAAAGCATTTACATCTCCAACATCAACCTCTGTACAAAACAGATTCCCAGGTACAGAATCTTGTTGGAATGATCCATTAATCCTCAAACGGGAACTCGGGCGGGAACTTTCAGAAATTACTGTAGCAGTCGAAGTAAGAGGAGTTCCTGATGCATTCACTCCAAAGCCAAGTCCATGTCTTGGGTTTGCTTGCCCTTGTACATTCATGAACAAGTTGTTCTCTGTGGGTGTGGACATATTTACAGTGCTTGTTGCGTGCTGAGGGGCTGGTAAAGCATGCCATAGACTGCTTTCAGCATGATGAAAATAATTTGAACTTCCAGAGCCAGAAGACTGTCCAATGTCTTCTTCAAGTACTTTCCTTTTACATGATAAGCGTCGTCCTTCAACAGCACAACCGGGCCTACCATCGATCTCCTCCATTGCAGATCCACCACTTCCGGCAGGCAGCCCAAAAGGATAGGATGAACTACTGGCTGATGGCATCCACTCATTTAATGATCCAACAGATTTGTATGCATTAGGACGCTCCACAATCTGACAATCTTCATCATTGTCTAAAGACCTTGAACTGATGTTACGATCCTGAGGAAGGGAATCAGGGGTAGTAGTTTGCAAATACCCATTTGTAGACTGGTTGCTATTCAAGTTTACATCAACATTATTCAATGACAGAATATTAGAGGCTTCATAGCGCTGTTCTCCCAATGTGAAAGCTGGTCCAGACCGGACACTCGTCAATGATGGCCATCCACGTTCTGCTTCTCTTTCATTTCGACCAATATGACTCAATGCCGCATTTGAACTACTTACACCACTATTCCACCCACTTAAGATCCCCTCTTGGTTTGCATGATTCAGATACGAAACATTTGTGCCACTAGAGGGTATCATATAATCTGGTAACGGATGTTGGGAGGAAGGCTGCATGTTATTCCAAGATATCTGCTGATCTATGCCAGCATCATTTGTTTGGGATCCATTATCAAAGCATATATTTTCACGCAAGGTACTGACACCACTCCTTTGCCCTTGCATTAGGACTACGATGTTCAAACACTCGAGACAGGTCCAAATGGTATAATAATGGAGACAAGATATCCAGCACTGTTGTTCTTCAGCAAATCTGACAACATTAAACCAAGAAACAAAGGTTATGTATTGATAACTCAGAAGTCACAAAGGTATGCCAAGCATAGAGACTGTACATAGCATGAATAAGAAAGAATGGCAACCACGGGTGCAAACCAGTAAAATAGTGGTTGCTAACAAACTAAAATAATCCACATTTTAAAAGGCCAAAAGGATTCATAGAAAAGTCAACACGGTTCAATATTAACAGAGTGCAATCCAATGGCAACAATTCTAGACTATCTAAACCCAGAATCGTTTTATCTTAAATAAGATAGAAAACATAAAATAAAGTTAATTTTCAGTAACATTTTGTTTCAAAACGAGTTTGGTATATTCCATCCACGACTCCAAAAGATTTGATTTCACATGAGGCGTTAATGCCCAATGTAAAACTACAACTGCATTAGCATAAAGAGCAGTACTACCCGTCTTGGGAACTTAACATTGCTCCATGTGTCAACACACGCTATGAAGACGACAAAACATTAAGCACCGACAAAGAATTTGATACGTAATCTCCCACGCGTACAAAGAACTGCATCAGTGAATTTTTTCGACCTCTCAAACTCTACATCAAACACCAAACTAATGGCAGGAACGAAACATCACCGACCAACAGCAACATTGCAATCAAAAAAAGCAAAGAAGAATCCACGCTAGTTATATCAAAATTATACGCTTCCGAGTATATATATGAATGTGTGTGCAGACATAAAAACATCCAGCCACAAATAGAGAAAAAAGAGATTATAAAACAAAAAGGAAAATAATCTTTGGGAGAAAAGAATTCGTACAGAAACTCAAGAATCTTAGATGAAAACAGAGAGGCTTCAAAACACATTTAATCATAAATCACCCACATATACAACCATCTTGAGAGTAAATAATTGAAAGGACAAATAAAGATTATAAAACTGAAAGGGCTGGAGAATTAAAAAAAAAAAAAAATTTCCAAAAATGAAGAGACCAGAGACTAAACCCATTCAAGAAAATGGCTAGAGAAAGGCTGATAGATAAAACCCATAAAACAAAAACGGCAAAGAAAATAAATCTTGAACCCCGAAAAGAAAAACAATAAACAGGATGACACCATCAAATATCGATACAGAAATGGAAGAATCGGGGGAATTTTTACCAGCCCAAGAGCAGCAGATTGAGCAGCAGATCTACGATCAAGACCTAAACACAGCAAAACAAACCTGAAAAAAAAAGGTCTTTATTTAAAACATTGTCTGAAAACTTTGAAAAAGATGAAAAACTCTCTCACCCACCTCTCTTTTCTCTTCACAGACATATAAGAACAGAAGAAAATAAGCATATATATGAACACAAAACTCACCGCTTTATCAAGAAAACACGTAAAGAGAGAGAGGTTTCCTTGGATGAGATGATGAGATCGGATGAGATGATGTGGTGTGAAAGAGAACAGATGGAAAATCAGGGTGGGATTAATGAGGACATCAATCTTTAATTTACTCATAAACACACCCCAACTTAGGCCAACACAGCCACACGACACAGACAGAAACTATTAAAGAAAAATGTTAAAAAGGAAGAAAAGATTTATTGAACTTTTCCTTAATGCAATAAATAACAAGTCAGACAAAAGGATTCACCTCTCCTCTCAACAGTTTCAAGTGATGCGATGGAAATGAAATGAATTTGAGATGGAAAGGAAAAGAAAATGAAAACGTGAAATGAATGCACTGACCAAAGGTAAATATTTTACGGTCAAATTGGACATGAGCTCCTGTTGGGTGGCTGGAAGGCTATATTGTTTGGTACTATCATTAAGATTGATTATTGATGCTTTCTTAGGGGGAAGGAAAATGAGAGGAAAATGCAAATGTTTTACTTTTCCTTTTCCTTTGTTTGGTAGTATCATTAAGAATGATAGTCTATACATCACATAGCTGGCTGGCTGCCTTTGTATTTCTTGTCGACATGTTATTAGGATGAATTAGATAACAATTAACAAGGTTAATAATTTGTTTGTTGTTCATAAGAATATGACCTAAGTCCTTATTTAGTGGGGAATAAAAATTTAAAATCAATTTTCAGAAAATTCTGATGAAATTTGTAGTTGAAAAGTTGTGACCATATGTAGAATATGTAATTAAAATTAATTATTAACTTTGACTTAAATTAAAATCTGAATTTTAATTTCTATCAAACAAGAAATTAGCAGTAGTGTACAAGTCATTCAAGACTTGTAAGTGTGTTTTAGGGTAACTTTGCCTCTCTTTGTGGGTTTGTTCTTTTCAAGATGGTTGTTTGAAAGTTAGATTTTGTTCCATAGGGTAGGTTATGGCAATATTTATAGCAAACTAATTTCAATAAAGAAAAAAAAAAGGAAATTTGTTGAAAGAAATATGTTGAGTTTAAACTAAATTTGTTAGAAATTTCGAAAATCTAAAAGAATGTAAAGTTGAAATTTGTAGGCATAAAAAATGATTGTGGGATTTGTGTTGTTGACAATGAAAAATAAGAAGAGTAGAATTGGTATTGTTGATCGGTGAAGGAAGAATTATAATTTGAATGTTAGTAGAATACTCGAGAAAGGCACGGCAACTAATTTAATTTCAATATTAATTTATTTTAGAATATATCACACACATTACCCAAATGAAAGAATTCCAACAGAATCATAACAAGTGAAATTGTTTCATATAATCTAGAATTCCAAAAAAATCATAACAAGTGAAATTGTTTCATCTAGAGTGAATGACTTTGAAATGATTATTGGATTTTTCATATTGTGAGAAGTGAATTTAAAAAAATCAAAATATTATGAAGAATATTAAAAATGATAATAGCGGGTGTCTGACATAGGTCAAATTGCCTTTTAAATCACTTCAAAATTCAAATGAGACATTTCATAAATCTCGAGAACTCATTATAGGTAGCAAAGTATCGGACCAACCCTAAACTTCAAAATTGCCTGGGCCGACTCTACTTTCGAGGGGCTAGTCTAGGTCAACCCATCATCTGGTCACTTTTTAATAATAATATATATTATTTAATAAATACATTAAATGTGAAAACTCAAAGTGATACATCTCGACCCACAAAACACATTAAAAGACACTATATTCTTCTAGTATATTTAATACGTCAATGTCACTTCTACTACATTATTCATGAAGTACTTTAGTGGAGCATTTTACACGCTACAAGCACATTGCACACCTTCTTGACCGATCTCTTCAAGCTCATTGCATTGATTGTCACGCTAGCTTTTGTTGTAGAGCTTGTTAGCTATGTTATGTTCTATCGAATTAGTTATCCTCCGAACTTGATAATCTCTCAACCATGTTCATATTATGTATTCATCTATTTTTAATTTTTTTCCAATCTTTGATTATTAATTGTCTTTTCTACCTAGAGATATTTTATCGCATGGACCCCAATCTACACCATTGTTAGGGTGTAAAAAAGAAAAAGAAAAATCACATTATCGCATTGTCACAAGGGATGTTACAAAAACTTTACAAATGAAATGAATGTTAATTTGGATGGAAAAATAATTAAAACCATCCAATCATTCGCATGAAGTATATGCATATCTATATTTCTTGGTCGTATAGCGTGAGTAAAGGGCCCCATAATCGAATACAAAAGGTTACATAGATTTTCTTTACAAAATTTATTGTTTTTAATTTAAACATTGACAATTTATTCATAGACTCGTTGGTTAGTTTTTTCTTATATACTTTTTGGAAAAGAATCTTATATTATGGTTGATTGTGATTTTCCACTTAACAATGATATGTGTGCGTTTGTTTAATTGTAGTGTTTGGCAGAAATTATAAGTCACTTTTTAAATCTACTTTGCCTATTTTAAATATCTATCTCTACATATTTTATAAAAGGAAAAGATAATGATAACAATTGAGTTTGGTTAAATATCACAAAAATGAGAGCAAATTAATACATGTATTGATAAGATAATATCGAAAATATTAGCATGTGAACTAAAATTAATTTTAATAAAGATTATATGATTTAGATGTCTCGTATTTCTCAAAATAGTGATTCGATTGATGGAATTTGGTATGAGATTGATATTCCAAGGCTCAAAATTCTGAAGGATCTTGATTCCACAATAGCGATGTGATTTGAGTGAATTGGTTAAAAAATGGGATGGGAGTAAATGAAATAATTTCTTTCACCCTTAAATTTCAAACAATTGAATTAAATATATTGGATCTCTTAGTGAGATCTAGAGATTACTCGAATCTAGTTGTAAAAGTTATATAAAGATACAGTTTATTGATTATTTTTGCAAGTAATTTGGTGCATACAAATATGTAGTTTTTGTTGAAGTTATCTCACATCTATTGTGGAAGGGATTGATGATTAGTTTATAAATGCGAGAGAAAACCTGATTTCTTAAACTAATTTTTAGGGTTTAAAATGTCCAAAAGTATCCAATACTGATATTAGAGTCCAAGCTATTAACGAGTCTTTGTCCAACAGTTCACGAGAGATACGGATTTAGTCTCATCCAGGCCTCAATGTGTGAGGAGGAAATTGTTGAGGTTATCCCACATTAATTGTAAAAGGAGCTAATAGTCAATTTATAAGTGTGAAAAAAAAAGTCTCACCTCTCAAATTAACTTTTGAGGTTGAGAAAACCCCAGGTCACCCAAATTGGTATCAGAGTTTAGGTTATCATCAAGTCTCGTCCCATGGAAGCAGCTAATAGCCAGTTTACAAGCATGAGAGAAATTTTCCCCTCTTGAACAATCTTTTGAGGTTGAAAAAGCTCGAGACCACCCAACAATTTTTTCTTTCAAATTAAAAATGAGTAGTAATCATTCATTTGTACAAATAAATTTTCTTGGTTAACGTAATTGCTTTGATCCTTCAAAAAGTGGTGTGAATACAAAGAATTGTGTCTAAATAAAGCATGTGGTGCAAGTGTTTAAAGGTCCAAACATTGTTCCTTTTAGTTGCCGGCCCTTTTCACCACCACCCGTTCACATCTCATTCAAGTGGGCATCTTCCAAGAATTGCCTTCAATGTGTGTGTGTATGATTAATATATTCTCCTAAAAACGCATATATTCAAAACACACTAACATAATTGTACATAATCTCCACTGAGTTTTTACGTTGAAACGTCCAAATGTGCTGCTGCCTATGTTGCGTGGAAAGTTGTAAAATACTAGCATTTATGTTATTGCCACATCTATATATCAAGATTTTATCAAATGCTAAGAAACGTTTCAGAATTTAAGCCCCGTTTGGCCCTCATTTTTCAAATAAAAATGGGTGAAATATTATTTTTTTGAAAAATGAGTGGTTGGAAAAGAAGGAAAAGTTTTCGATTTACGTATAATATTATTTTATGGAAGATTGTGTAATTGAAAATAAAAGAAAAAAATGAAATGAAATTTAATGGTCGCCAAACGGGGCTAAGAAAAAAAAAATCCAATTTTATTAAAATTTGAAGATCAGATAAAAAGTTAAATGTACAAGTATTAATCATTTTTATCTATTTATAAACACAACTTACCAAACATATGCTTAGTTTCAGATTTTATCTAAAAAATAAATTTATTAAAACCTTTTAATTCTTACATACCACATATTTCTTATTAGTAATTGAAATTTGTATTAATTTTAAACAACTTTTTTTTTAGAAAATGATAAATTTATAAAAATAAAACTCAATTGTTTATAAAACATTTATTCAAAGCTTCGTGTTTTATTTTTCGCATAAAATACATATTTCCCTCTTTTGGTAGGGATTAAAATTAAGATTTTAATTCAAGTCAAGATTAAATATTAATTTTAATCACATATTTTATAGGAGAGAGAGAGAGAGAGAGAGAGATATGCATTGTTGTGGCCTGTTCCTTTCGCTAATTTCAAAGTGGGTTCTTTGCCTTTTGTCATTGTTTTTTCATTTTTCAATGGTGGCTGGTTGAGGTCAGGATCACAAGCTTCCTATATATTCAATTGGGTCTACTTGAAAGAAACCTTGCGTAATTGCCGCTTTCAAATAAATAATTTATTTGTTTAACAAAGAGATATTGATTTGATTCCCTACCTCACTTTATGGAATTATTCAATTTTTCCATGCTTTTTCTCAAGTCAGACATGGTTGGCATACAAAAACTTGCGTGACCCTTATGCCATAATAATGTAAACTTCGTATTTATGAAGGGATAGAGACATACATATATTAAAAAAAAAATGGTATATTCTGAGTATTGCCCATTTATAAGTATTTTAAATGGATATGATCAAGGTGAACATTGAACCAAAACTACCTCAAATTGAGAACTCGACCGTTCTCGCCCAATTTTAGGATCTAGATATAAAATAAAATTTTGATTACGTTATAAAATTATTTTTCTTATGATTTCTGTCGCTGAAATTACACCAAGAACTTGGATTCGTGTGCACAAATCGAGCTCGGTTTCAATACCTAATCAAATACTGCAATTGTTTCCCAACCCAAATTAAATTTCACCGTGGTTGCCCTCTTGTAACAGTATCCATTAAGGCTAATATGGTGGATGCAATTGTTAAGGGATAAAATTTCACATCGAATAAAGATGAAAAACATAGATAACTAATAATGTTTTGGGCTACTTCTCTTCACAAAGTTGACAATTTAAGATTGAACGTCAAGTCTTAATATGATATTAGAGCTATTAAGCTCTGGCGAGCTATTCAATTCGATCAAAACTCAAAATATGAGCACGTGAATTTTAAGATTGATTTGCTCAAAAG